CTTCATAGAAGGACAATTGTGCACAAACGACATATTAAAATTCAAAGATCGGGCTCTGTAGGCCACAGATCTTGGGTCTAACCCTTATACATATGTATAATTCACATTTAAAAAGTTTTTATAAAAACATGGTTACCACATACAGTAACGACAACAGCTGTCTTTGACTTACATTTTTGAAGTAAAATGAAAATGAAATAGGAAGCTCGGATATACGGAAATAAATCCTAGAGCGACCTCTGTATTTAAATTATTAATTAAAAATTGAAAATGTCTAAAATGACGTCTAAAGGTTAATGATTATTAATTTTAGCTACTGTAGAATTTTAAATTTAAATATTTTAAATTGATTAGTTAACGTGAAGATTTAAATATACATTTATCAAAATTATCAAAAAACAAAACTTTAAAGTTTGACCAAATAGAAGAAAGTAGATGAAAACCAACCAAGGAGAAGTATCATTTGCTAAGTTAAGAGTTCAACAGCTATTCTTGATTATCGATATTATTAATAAAATAAATAATGAAGAAGAAAATATCAAACATTCTCTATGTAGATGAAATCAATGAAAGAAAGTATAAGAAATTCTCTCTTTTTTAAAATCTCTTTTTTAAAAATAAAGGTCAATGCTTGATCAAGAGATGGTTAATTTTATACTAAGTGTATTATTAAAGAAACTTCTTAAAGATTGGATCAAACTTACAATTTAAATTAATTTGAGTGTTGACACAATTCTGAGGATTCCTTTTCATTTCTCTACTGTGATTGTAACTGAATATACTGTGACTGTAATTGAATAGTAACAATCTTATTATTACTAAAGCTGATAAAGGTAACTGCCTCATTATCATGTACCATCATGATTACGTTCAAAAAACAGAAGAATTTCTAAGAAATAATAACTTTGACATTCTAGATAGAAATCCTCTAAATAAACTAGCTACTAATCTTAAAGCTATTTTATCTAAACATAAAGATTTCCTACAATCACATAATAGGATAGAGAAAACCTTCATTTTGTCAAATCCGCAAATACCAAGACTATATGGTTTACCAAAAATTCATAAACCTAACACCCCTATGAGACCAGTGGTTAGTTTTTATAACACACCAGTTGTTAAATTGTCCAAATTCATCAATTCTATATTACAATCCTCAATATCTGTTCAACCCACTTTTTCTGTCAAAAACTCTACAGACTTAGTAAATAAATTGTCAGTTTTAAATTTACCTAGAGCCTTTTTTCTAGTTTCCTTTGATGTAAGTAATTTGTTTACAAATGTACCTAGAGATGAAACCATTTCCATAGTTGAGAAATTACTTATTAAAAACAACATTAATAGAGATACAATTTTTCACATATTGGGTTTACTTAAATTTTGTCTTTCACAAGATTTCTTTTCTTTCAACAATATTATTTATAAACAGGCACAAGGATTGGCAATGGGCAATCCCTTATCACCTTTGCTAGCAGATCTATTTCTGAATAACCTGGAGATTAATATCTTTGACAATCTTTCTCTGAATCAAAACCCGTTTCAAAAAGTTTTATATTGGTTTAGATATGTGGATGATGTGTTAGCTATCATTGATGGAAATTCCTCAGATGCAGACAATATCCTAGTTTCACTTAACAACTTACATCCAGCTATAAAATTCACCTTAGAAACAGAATCCAACAATTCTATTAATTTTCTAGATTTAACATTAACTAAAATAGATAATAAATTAAATTTTTCAGTCTTCAGAAAACCAACTCAGACTGACCATACCATCCCTAGATCTTCTAATCATCCTTTTCAACAGAAAATGGCCTCCTTTTATTGTTATATCCATCGTTTACTTAGCTTACCTCTGTCAGATTCAAATTTTAATTCAGAATTAGAAATTATTAAACAACTTGCTTATAGTAACGGTTACACCCCTACTTTGGTTGATAACATACTCAACAAATTAAGGAATAAAAGGAATAGATCACTAGCATACAACACTGTCCATAACATTTCTAACTCAACAGTTATTTATCGATCAATATCGTACTTAGGTTATCCCTCAGACAATATAGCTAGAATCTTAAAAAACATCCCTAATCTAAAACTTTCTTTCAAAGTTAAAGAAAATATCAAATCTATTTTTTCCCACACTAAAGACAAAATTAACAAATCGTCAAAAAGTGGTATTTATAAATTATCCTGTGGTGAATGCCCAGTGACCTATGTGGGTAGAACAATGCGACCTTTGGATATACGCATCAAAGAACATCTATCTAAGATTGATAAATCTAGTTTTGGGAATCATATACATGCTTCAAAGCATGGCTTTAGTCCTCATAGAGATAGTAAGATCCTACACAGTATACCCAATAATAATTATATAAAAATGAATTTACTAGAAGATCTTGAAATCAGTAGAGAAATGAAAAGGAATCCTCAGAATTGTGTCAACACTCAAATTAATTTAAATTGTAAGTTTGATCCAATCTTTAAGAAGTTTCTTTAATAATACACTTAGTATAAAATTAACCATCTTTTGATCAAGCATTGACCTTTATTTTTAAAAAAGAGATTTTAAAAAAGAGAGAATTTCTTATACTTTCTTTCATTGATTTCATCTACATAGAGAATGTTTGATATTTTCTTCTTCATTATTTATTTTATTAATAATATCGATAATCAAGAATAGCTGTTGAACTCTTAACTTAGCAAATGATACTTCTCCTTGGTTGGTTTTCATCTACTTTCTTCTATTTGGTCAAACTTTAAAGTTTTGTTTTTTGATAATTTTGATAAATGTATATTTAAATCTTCACGTTAACTAATCAATTTAAAATATTTAAATTTAAAATTCTACAGTAGCTAAAATTAATAATCATTAACCTTTAGACGTCATTTTAGACATTTTCAATTTTTAATTAATAATTTAAATACAGAGGTCGCTCTAGGATTTATTTCCGTATATCCGAGCTTCCTATTTCATTTTCATTTTACTTCAAAAATGTAAGTCAAAGACAGCTGTTGTCGTTACTGTATGTGGTAACCATGTTTTTATAAAAACTTTTTAAATGTGAATTATACATATGTATAAGGGTTAGACCCAAGATCTGTGGCCTACAGAGCCCGATCTTTGAATTTTAATATGTCGTTTGTGCACAATTGTCCTTCTATGAAGTATTTATTACCTAATTGACGTAAGTTTTTTCTATCATTGTATTTTATATAAAAAATTTACTTAACTTAACGTTATTTTAGGATAGCTCTGATGATGACATTTATTATGTCGAAAGTATACTTAGCTTAATTATTAAACTATTTTACACACTATCAATTTTATTGAAAACATACAAAACCAGCTTACCAGTTAGACCTATTTAGAAGTGTGTACAAGTCTTACAGTCTTTTTCAACTCCACTATGACTTTAAAAGGTTCCTTTCATCAGAGAAGAAATCCATCGAGCCACGGAGTCACAAAATGAACGTATCATTCACTACGAAAATAAGCTAGTAAGAGAATTATACAACAATGGACCAGCCACAAGAAGATTACATAGAACCTGGCCCCAAGACCTTCTTCAGAACTAAACCAAAATAGAATAAGTAAATATCATATTTACTTAATACTCTTTTTTTGATGTAGATTGTAAATAAACATAATAATAAAAAAAAAATTTAAATGTAAAAAAAACATGTTAAAAGTTAAAAAAAAAAATTGTTTAAAATCCTTTATAAAAGGTATATAAAAATGCCCCAAACGGGCTATCACAAACACATTTCAAAACGTTTTCGGATTAAACAATCCATCATCAGTGCAAACGGTTGTACATGCTAGTAGCCACCAAAATATATGGGTAAAAACCCTTTAAATGTTATGAATTTGTAGTTGTTTTACATTATTAGTATTTATAATTTGTGATGTTTAAGTTACCGTTGGATAGGTAACATGGCGGCGTATGACTCTACATGAGTAAAATGGTCCTGAGACGAAGTGTCTACGAGGACCTGTTGATAACAACTTGTTGATAACAACGAGAGTTGTTACGCCGCCATGTTACCTATCCAACGGTAACTTAAACATCACAGCTCGACTTTCGGCAAATGTATTGGCTTCTTGGACGTAAATCAAAACTTAACATCCAAAACAAAATTCTTCTATACAAAGCCATGCTCAAACCTATCTGGTTCTACAGACTACACCTATGGGGTTGTGCAAAGCCAACGTCGCTGAATATTATTCAAATATTCCAATATAAAGTACTAAGATCGATAGTGGATACGCCATGATACTTAAGTAACCAAACACTCCACTATGACTTTAAGGTTCCTTTCATCAGAGAAAAAATCCATCGAGCCACGGAGTCACAAAATGAACGTATCATTCACCACGAAAATGAGCTAGTATAGAAATTATACAACAATGAACCAGCCACAAGAAGATTACATAGAACGTGTCCCCAAGACCTTCTTCAGAACTAAACCAAAATAGAATAAGTAAATATCACATTTACTTAATACTCTGTTTTTGATGTAGATTGTAAATAAACATCATAAAAAAAAATTTAAATGTAAAAAAACATGTTAAAAGTTATTACAATTTTTTTTGTAATATAAATCCAGTTTCACTTAAAATAAATGAAAAGTTGGTCCCGGCTCTGACTAATGACAGCGTTTTGAGATGCCGTCGTCAAGGTGTTAATGATACAGTAAAAACCATCATGTCACAGAAAGCTTTACAGAACATAGGTAATTAAATAAAAACTGTCTAGATTTGTATTTAATCTTAACTATGTAAAATGCTATTTTGATATGAATGTGTACATAGGTTCGTCCGTATATGTATTGATACAATCTACATGGTTATAAACAATGTTCAAACATAATTACTTGGTGTACAAATATCATTTTTGTTTCCAGTATCGAAAATAAAGAGATCCTTTTCACTTAAAAATCTGGCATGTCTATTGTTGCACATATATTTGTACTGTACAGCATGGCTTATATTCTAGGCTTCAATTGTAACATTTTACCTATAAAAAACCAAAAATTTGAACAATTAACTGATTTTGTTACAAAACATTTAAATAGAAAATCTTTGACATTAATAGACAATACAGAAAACATGGACCAACTATTTACTTCTATGGATGTACCACAACGAATCATCACAAATATTTCTATGGTAGAAGAACTGATACAGGCTTTTGGAGACTTTGTGTTTATTGATAACACTATAGAATCTTTTACCACGACATTAAAATTGTTCAATCAGTCTGATAAATGGCACAGCACGTCCAAATTTCTGATCGTATTTAAGAATTTGACGGACATAGAGATGAAAGTTGTTTTTGCAAAGTTGTGGAGGGTTAATATATATAACGTAGTAGTATCTGCGGACTTTATAACATTTTTTACTTGGTTTCCGTATTCTAAAGAGAATAATTGCGGTAAAAGTTTTAATGTAGTTAATGTAACAACAGATGCATATAAGGAAAAAATTCCAAACAAATTCGATTCGTGCCAACTTAATATTACGATGGCTCCCTATAAGTTTTATTTTAATAAGACCACCAAAAGAGGTCATCCAGCTGAATTGTCTAAGGCCATTGGGAAGCAGCTTAATCTAGATATTAATATTGTTACCGTACATGATTACATTGAAAGTTTGGTCGTACATGGTACTTACGATCTTTTTATATACGATATGGAGACTTACAATATAGAAGCTGGTTTTGTAGGAGTATTTCATTTTCAACATCTTCCCAATTATCAAGCTGAATATAGTAGACCAAGCATTATAAGTTATATGTATATCCTATGCCCACCTAGAGAACAAATAGAGCCAAATATGATTATGTTGCTTTCGTACACCCTGTACCTTCTCGTTTTTGCGGTATTTCTGATAACAACACTTTTATGGAAAATATCATGCAAGTTACAGTTTCAAGAAACAATATTTCTGGTCTATAAATTATTTATTACACTTATAATTGATTTTCGTAAAGTAAATAATGTTAAAACAACCATATATTTGTCGCTTGTTTTATGGTTTTCGTATTACATCTCTACTTTTTATCAAACTAAGCTCAGCGCAATTTTAACGAGTCCACTTTTAACACCGAAAATAAAGAATCTAGATAAATTTCTAAAATCAAATTACCGCCTGATGGGGGATCATTCTTTGCCGGAATTTGTGAGACATAGAGGCGAAGACACCGTTAAGAAGATACGAAAAAAGCTTCTAGATTCGACCAACATTGTGGATGATCTAGCGAAGTTTCTTAAAGAACCAAAGTATGGATTTGTCCCATCCAGTAATATTTTACGAATGGTTAAAAACCTTAAAGATGTTGAAGTAATGTATGACGATCCAGTATGTATTTTATTGATTATCTTGTTAACCTTTATAAACCTGAGCGAATTGCAGATGCACCCCAGTCATCAATTTTTGTAAATACATAAATGCTGAACTCTGTATGTGAGAAGTATACTATCCCAAGTCCAATTTTTTAGAAAAACATATTATTACGTATCCGGCATCGGAATATCCTAATTTATTTAGGAGAATATTATACTTCTAAATGCTTTTAGAAACGAAATTAGACGAAAAACTATGTATACTATTTCCAGTTTGCTTTCTTCTTCTTCTTCTTCTTCTTAAGGTGTCGTGCATTTCTGCGTAGGCGTCCACCGTACATCGTCTTGTCAGGTGAGATGAGGTGACAGTTTGCTTTAGAGCTATATAATCTTATATGGACTTAAACTAACATTCCTTCAAATGAAATATTACCAATCGTATCTCAAGTCCATTATAGGATTTTATGCGTCTCAATGGAATGACATCCAGTATATAATAAAATACACACACGTCTAGTGCATTTTCTTAAAACTTAATATTTATTTTTTTATCAATAGGGAGTTTTTGTAACTACCTAACGTAACGTATCTCCCTATACGTAAAGAACTAACGTATCGAAGAGGATACTGGTTAAATTGAGAGTTAAAATTCTACACGTAATGTAACGATGGTGTTGCCCTCATCGAATTAGTGATAAACCAATAAGTTGTCAGTGTCAGTCTTGCCCTTGTCACTTAACCCTATTTACGATATTTAAAATAAATAACAATATTTTTTTGAACAATTTTTAATTTTGGAGATGGACGCAATATTAAATGTAGCTTTATTGATGATGAAGAAGACGAGGACATAGAAAACGCGCTTCTTCTCCACATCTTGCACGACTATAAGGCCGCTTTAATTTAGATACCATGTCTGATTTACAAAGTAAAAATATTTTTCACTTTTGGATTAAATTTCACTTTTCTGGATGATCGTAAGGGTTCTGGCCTACGACTTCCTTCAACAAAAAAAAATCATCGTCATTCATCATTGCTGAAGTGAAGTCTTTTTCTTCTGCTTTCCATTATTTATAAAAATCAAAACAAATTTACTAAAGCACAAATGTGAAAAACACGTCCCACGTGTGCTGATGAAATGTGGATGTTGATATATTGAATGTTGAATGTTGATATTTTGGTATAGTCCGTGCAAGCACTCTTGACCACGGTGCAGTAGATGGAATTTGGTTTAGTTTCCACTTCCATGCGAAACGCACTGTACTATGCAACGTGAAAATATCGACTTGAAAATTTTTAGTTGTGTTTCTGACTTTGAGGTGTTGACTTCAATAAGTTTGTGTATTTTCTCCCGTTTACCTGTTGCGTATTCAAATTTATTAAAAGCGGTCAAAAGGTAGGTACTTTATCATAAATTAAAGTACATAGGGGCGCATTAAGGAAATTTTAATAAAATGTTTTCATTTCTTTTTGCTTTGAGACTGGTGCAAAACAAAAATTACTTGCAGTCTGTTTCAATTAATCGGTTAATGTTTGATATTTGAAAATCTTTTTTTTTAAACTACTTCATATGTTACGATTTATGTTGATTTGAGTTTATATTTTTTTAAAATCTTTCTTTTTTTAAAATATTTTTATATTTTCATTTTCTTCACAGTGCCATCACAATTAATAACAGCGTGTTATTCACGCTATCTTCGGTTTTAAATATGGTTGTGGAAGCCACTGAAATTTCTAAAAGTAGCGTCCAAAGAATCATTAAAGAAGGGGAGAGAGTTTCCGACTTTTCATCTTCTTCAAGCAGCTCGGGAAATGTCTTTAAATCTCCCAGAAAAAAGATTAATTAGCCAAAACCGAAAACCAACGTCGATGGTTATGAGGGAGAAATTATAAGAAATATACTTATATTGCATACTTTTGCAATGATTCATGGCAGCAGGCCTACCATGTCAGCTGTTTACAACGCTGTTAAGAATGAGATTAATTTCCAAGGTAAACTATCGTCGTTCAGAAAAGTGTTGAAGAAATTAGGTTTTAAATGGCAAAAAACAAATGACAACCGAAAAATACTCATGGAAAAAGCGGATATTCGAGCCAAACGAACCGAATATCTAAAAAAACTATAGAGCTGGGGGTTATGATGTTATCTACACTTATGACAGGTATCTCCACAGCAGCAACCTTTTAAGGATTTCAGGTATATAACTAAATCCAACTAATTACTAAAAGGAAATCCACGTATAGGTAGGTAGAACCTACTTATTGTTCCATTGTTTCGCATTGTTCTTATGTAACCTCACTGCAATTCCTAGTAATCTCTGATTTCTGGTAGATATGACGTATGGAGAATTCCAAACAAATTATAAATCAATCATTAGCATTCAACAAATCAATAAACAAATTATCACTAAATCAAATTATTCGCTGTACCCTTTTTTGAATATCGTTTAATTTACCGTCCTAAATACACTTATAAATAAATAAAAAATTAGTTAATTTGTAAATAATTTGTAAGTCGGTACAACTGTTTAGAAATTTTAAAAATACTCTCAACTTAAAACAAGAAATTGAAAATATAAACTTGAGTTTAAAATACCAAATTAAAGCCAGTTTTTAAAAAAAAATTGAACAAAAATCATTGAAAATATAAACGAAATGCACATAAAAACCATTTTGGTTATGCACCGTGCAATTTTTTATTTATTACTCAGTACAACACTGTAATTATTTCGACAATTTCGAGGTTGCAGTCGAAGGTAGAACATTTTAGTTTGGTTAGTATAATAAATGACGCTTATATAAGCGAATATATAAGCGTCTATATTCTTTGGTATCACTTACTTTTCTACACTGCTTACGCCAGACCATCTTTACTCAGTGGCGCCGGCCGACGGGTAGTTTAATGACAATACATGCATTATTCTCCATTCAAATAACGATAAATGATGAAGCGCCAATGATGAGTAACACGTTTCACTATTAGATTTTAGTATTTTTTAGCAATTTTCTTTAAAGCTGGAACACGCTTTTCTGGATTATTACTGGACACAGATAGGTGAAAAAAAATCAACGATTACAGAAAAAAAAACTCCTTCAAGTGATGAGCGTAAAAAGTTTGGTTATAATAGAACGTTAAACAGTATAATCCAATTTTTCAACAGAAGTTTTAAAAAAATTAAAAAAAGTAAAACCATCGTTTTAAAGGCAACAGAATTTTTAATAATTTGTCCAAATTTCGAGACATTTTGTCGGTAAATAACAGAGAAAACACTGTCTCCAGGTTTTGGTGCCCCGATAAAACAGCCTTAAGCGGAACCTCGAATATTAAGGTAGCTAATTCCAATAAAAATTTTGAAATACCACATATTCTGCTCGATTTTTATTAATATTTCTCCTCTCAACTAACCCGTGGTAGCTTAGGTTAAAATAAAAAAAGTAATTTTTAAATACCACTGTATGCTGCAAACCTTTTGCAATTCAATGAGAAAAGGCAGCAAATATTTGATTTCACGCAAACAAATCCTATGTATCTCTTGATACGTATTTAGACCTAATAGGTCTCGTCAGAAGAGCTATTCATAGGGGTTCTCAACTTTTGCTTTTGCAATTCATTTACGACCTTCACAAATGTTTTTACTTTTACCTTTTTAATTTTACTTCAACCTTTAATTATATTTTGCTATCTACATATTTTTCATCTAATACACTGGACATAAATTGCGCACTTTACGTTCTAACTTTGGGAGCGCAAAGTCGTATTTTTTCGTCCGGTATAAAAAATGTACGTTTTCACATTTCAAAAGTTAAAAATCGACGTGATCGTGCGTAGATGAATATGAATATGTATTTACTATTATAAATTACTCAAAAACTATTGTACTCAGCATACAACACACTCAGGGACAGTAAAGAGGCGCTATATTTGCAATTTATTGCCAAAGTTAAATAATAGTGAAGAGGGCGGTATCAATCAAATCCGATTAAGACTGCAGCCCCACTCCTAGATTGGCGGTACACTTCGCTCAGGTCTATTGATGTACCCAATAAATACAAATCTTTTAATCTTTTAACAATAGGTGCGCAAGGTGTACCGACCCTCCTTTACAATTAGGTGATTAATGTAATAGACATAATAACATTATTTTTATTTGAATATCTTACCTGGTAATTATTCTGTGAAATATAACAATTCCATTATATTTACTAAAACTCAACTTGAATTCAGTTATTTTATATTCATAAAAGGGGCTCATAATTCGATTTCTCTTAGCCATGTACTCACTACGATAATCGGAGTCAGTTTTTTAAAGCAGTTAAAATTTTTAATTTTTGTAATAAAGTATTTTTATATTTTCAATATTTAAAAATTTTAAAAATAAATATTAGTTAGCACTGAGCAATATTTTAGAATCTTTTTAATTAGGGTAGTTACGAAAACAATGACTAGGCTGGTAAAATATAGTAAAAATCTAGCAGAGCACTTTTGAATATGGAAAAAGATTTTGCATTTAGCTAGCGTGAATGCGAAGCTTGTTGAATGTTTCCCATTAACTGTGGCTTAAACGTAAAAAATTATGAGGGTGAATAAAATTCAGTAAAAACCTGGTAGTAAGCAATTTATTCTTTCAATTGTGAAAATCTATTTTTTATCACCTTAAATATTAACCCAACAGAATTATTGACTTCTCATAAGGAATAGTTGAGGGGTGAGTAATTACTAGTGCGGTCATAAAATCATCATTTTAGTGAAAAATGGGTAAAAAATATACCATCGACAAAAAAATTTTTTTCCAAATTCTGCTAGCTTGAAAAGCCAGCAGAATCGTGACCATTAAGGGTGGTTTGGTGTTGGGATAAAAAATATGCCATAAGAAAAAATTTTTTTTCTGAATTCTGCTAGCTTAAACCTTAACCAGCAGAATTGCTCTTCTTAAGGTTGTTTTGGTGGTGAAACATTATTAGGGTGGTAATAAATTATTGAAAAATGGGTGAAAAAATATGCCATAAGCAAAAAGTTTTTTTTCCAAATTCTGCTAGCTGAACCTTAAGCCAACAGAATCGCTCCCCTTAGGTTGGTTTGGTGGTGAAACATTATTAGGGTGATACTAAATTTGTGAAAAATTGGTGAAAAAATATTACGTAAGTTAAATTGGATTCCGCTCATTTGTCCCCGCTAGCTTAAGGTACCTTCTGTGATGATTTTTGTAAGTAGGTACATTATTGTACACTAAATATCTTACTTTTTATTAGTGTTTTGTTTATTTAATTGGTTAGCAGCACTACATTATGTATCTAATGCTACGTTAAATTACCCTATATGCATAAAGTATTTTATTTCTTAAATCAACTTAATTTTTTGTCAATTGTCAGATTTTTTAATTAAGGTAAACCTTAAAGAAAAAAAAAGAAGACTAAGAAATAAGTAGGATGTCTATTGTAATATACTACTAGATCAACAAGGAACAAGATTATAGGAAAAGAAGACATAAAAATATATAGAAGCAATCCATAGAAATAAAAAATAAAAATAAAATCGGAAATGTAATCAAAGGTACCAACCTGGAATAATAAATGTTGGGTGACGCAACTGCATTTTATTCTAGTTCAAAGAATATTATTAATGATACAGTAAAAACCATTTATTCATGTCATAGAAAGCTTTACAGAAAATGAGGTAATTAAATAAAAACTGTCTAGATTTGTATTCAATCTTATTTATGTAAAATGCTATTTTGTTATAAATTAATACTTAGGTTCGTCGGTGTATGTACTGATTCTATCTACAATGGTGTAAATATATTTAAACATAATTACTTGGTGTATAAATATCACTTTTGTGTCGAATATCGAAAATGAAAAGATCTGTTTTACTTAACAAAAATCTGGCATGTCTATTGCTGCACATATATTTGTGCTGTACAGCATGGCTTATATTCTAGGCTTCAATTGTAACATTTTACCTATAAAAAACGAAAAATTTGAACAATTAACTGATTTTGTTACAAAACATTTAAATAGAGCATCTTTGACATTAATAGACAATACAGAAAACATGGACCAACTATTTACTTCTACGGATGTACCACAACGAATTATCACAAATGTTTCTAGGGTAGAGGAAGTAGTGCAAGCTTTTGGAGACTTTGTGTTTATTGATCAAACTATAGAATCTTTTACCACGACTTTAAAGTTGTTCAATCAGTCTGATAAATGGCACAGCACGTCCAAATTTCTGATCTTGTGTAAGAATTTGACGGGCATGGAGATAAAAGTTGTTTTTGCAAAATTGTGGAGGGTTAATATTTATAACGCAGTAGTATCTTCAGACTTTAAAACGTTTTTTACGTGGTTTCCGTATTCTAAAGAGAATAATTGCGGTAAAAATTTTAATGTAGTTAATGTAACAACAAATGCATATAAGGAAAAAATTCCAAACAAGCTGGATTCGTGTCAATTTAATATTACAGTTGCACCTTATAAGGGGTATTTTAATGAGACCACCAAAAGAGGTTATCCAGCTGAATTGTCTAAGGCCATTGGGAAGCAGCTTAATCTAGATATTGATATTGTTAACGTGCATGATTACATTAAGAGTCTTGCTGTACATGGTACTTACGATCTCTTTATATACGATATGGAGACTTACAATATACAAGCTGGTTTGGTAGCAGTATTTCATTTTCAACATCTTCCCAATTATCAAGCTGAATATAGTAGAGCAAGCAATATAAACTATATGTACATCCTATGCCCACCTAGAAAACCAATAGAGCCAAATATGATTATGTTGTTCTCGTATACCCTGTTCTTACCCATTTTTGCGGTATTTCTGACAACAACATTTTTATGGAAGATATCATGCAAGTTAGAGTTTCAAGAAACAGTATTTCTGGTTTATAAATTATTTATTACTCTTATTATTGATTTTCGTAAAGTGAGCAATGTTAAAATAACCATATATTTGTTGTTTTTCTTATGGTTTTCATACTACATTTCTACTTTTTATCAAACTAAGCTAAGCGCAATTTTAACAAGTCCACTTTTAACACCGAAAATAAAGAATCTAGATCAATTTCTAAAATCAAATTACCGCCTATTGGGCGATCACGCGTTGCCGGAATTTGTGAAACCTAGAGGTGAAGACATCGTTAAGAAGATACGAAAAAAGCTTATAGATTCCACCAACATGGCGGATGATCTACCGAAGTTTCTTGAAGAACCAAAGTATGGATTTGCCCCATCGAGTCATATGTTACGAACGATTAAAAACGTTAAAGATGTTGAAGTAATGTATGACGATCCAGTATGTATTTTATTGATTATCTTGTTAACCTTTATTAAACTAAGCGAGGTGCAGATGCACCCCAGTCATCAATTTTTGTAGATACATAAATGCTAAACTATTTTTTTTATTACATAAAACATAATGACGGTTCTAGATTTTTGTTCGATAGAGAGCCGCGGCAAGCCGCTTATACGTATTTCGACCTATTTAGGTCACTTCAGAGCGGTATTGCCACTAGTCTGTAATCTCTGTGTCTCAATTTTTTATTATTTATTTTTTCTTAGCTATTAATGCATCCAGCTCGGTTGTTATCCTCAGGTAGGGGATACTCGTGTACGAAACCTTGTATACTTTCCGTCAACATACACGGTGTTTCAAAAAAAGGTAACCCCGTCTCTAGGGTAGGTAAAAAATTGAAAAATAATTGGGGTTTATTTTGTAAAAAAATTTTATAACGCCATCCGTTTTCTTAGAGCAGGCTAGAGCTGCTTTTAGAAGGATGTCCAAGGTGTTATGTAACAGAGACCTTAAATTGGCATTAAGGATCCGCCTACTTCGCTGCTACGTGGTCTCGGTCTTACTTTATGCTGTCGAGTCCTGGACTGTGAATTAAATCGATCTAAATCGCCTTGAGGCTTTCGAAATGTGGTGCTATAGAAGAATTTTCAAAGTTTCTTGGGTGGAGAAGATTCGAAAAACTCCACAATACTAGAACGTCTCAGCAAGACTACTGAGATCATAAAAAGCATCAAGCAGAGAAAGCTGGAGTATTTCGGGCATGTAATGAGAGGTCCCAAATATAGGTTGCTACAAAATATCATGCAAGGAAAACTAGCAGTTAAACGCAGTCCAGGACGAAGAAGAACCTCATGGTTGAAGAACTTGCGAGATTGGTATGGTGTTCATACAAGCATGCTATTTAGGGTGGCAGTGAACAAGATTACAATAGCTATGATGGTAACCAACGTTCTGAAAGGACATGGTACATGAAGAAGAAGTTTTCAAGATACCGGGCGTTGAAGAAAAAAAATTTACGCATTTTTCGAATGCATTGCAAATACATTTCGATTTTGCTGAAACTACTGGCAACATTTATTCTGAAATCTGACATTTATTGATTGTTATGACGATAAATCAACAATAATTAGAGTTTTGAAACCTTGTTATTTGTAAAATCAAATCAAAATCTACTCAAATGTTGAATACACTGACATGTCATTAACCTTAGGCGAATGTTTACGATGTTCTAATGCAGCTGTGACACGCTATGCAGAAAAGTTTCCTAGAAGAAACTTACCAAGTAAAAAAACATTTAGAGCTATTGAACGAGGTTGTCGAGAAACTGGGAATGTGAGGGCAAATAAAATAAACTCTGGTAGACCAAGAACAATAAGAACAATTAATAAAGAAAATATTTTAAATTTAGTTGATCAAGATCCAACAGTTCGCGTAAGGAATATAGCAAGACAAACAAATACTTCTTCTTCAAGTACTTGGCGAATACTGAAAGAACAGCAACTACATCCTTATCATTACAGACAAGTCCAAGAGCTCTTGACAGATGATCACATACTATCACATACTTATACTTATATACTTATAGTATACTTATCACATATTTATAAACTATTTACAAAAATAATTACGAAACTACTAGAAAATAAATTGGAATTTTATCAGCCCATAGAACAGGCGGGTTTTAGAAAAGGCTATAAACAAACGATAACCTAGAACTCACCTTTCCTCGCTAGAAGGGGGATTGAAAATAAATATATCTAAAACCCAGATCATGGCAAATCTTGTAGTCAGTGAAGAAATACGCGTAGAAAAAAGATCCATAGGCCCAGTCTATAAATATCTAGGTCATGAGATTCGCATAGGAAAAGATAACCAAACCGTTTAGCTTCTCCGTCGTATAAGACTGACTTGAGCAGCCTTCGGCAAGCTGAACCATATTTTCAAATTGTCTGATATACCAATATGCCTTAAAAGAAAAACCTTTAATCAGTGTGTTTTGCCAGTGTTGAAACGTTGACCATGACAAGGAGAACAGTTCAAAAGATCCATGTGTGTCCAAGGGCGATAAAGCGTGCTATGTTGAGCGTTTCACTACGAGACAAGATCCCAAATCGCCCGCTACGACCAACAACAGGAGTGGCTGATGCAGTAGAGAAAGTAGCAACACTGAAATGGAACTGGGCAGGTCACATGGGTCGAATAAGAGATACTAGATGGACAAAGCCGATACTGGAATGAAGAGATGATGCCTACCAAAGCAGAGGTCGTCCACCAACACGTTGGACGATCTAAAACGTTGTCATAGGAATTGGATGCAAGAGGCACAAGACCGAAATAGATGGAAAATTATGAGGGAGATCTATGCCCAGCAGTGGATAAGCGAATATTGAATGATAATGATAATATTCTACTGTCATAAGTGTGGACCTTTGTTGTGCAAATTTTGTAAAGTTTTATTCTGTATTTGTGGGATTTAGCAGGCAAATACTGTCGAAAGGCTAGTCGGCCTTTTCGAGACAACATCGCATCATCTATTAAAATTTGTTTGCCAGGATAAACTGTGTTTTTAAATTAATTACAGATGAGATCGACAACATTTTTTAGTTTGCCTAATCGATCACTACTGACAGCAGGATTTTCATTATTCGCAAAGTGTAAAAATTTCAACAGTGAATCGAATCGGTGTCATAGTTTGTTACCAAACATTTCACTGCTACTCCAGTATAAGCGCATTTTGGGTAAATGATTTATGCCCATAATTATAATTATGCCGATGAGTTTTTTTATTTCATTACTTGTTTCTTTGCACTTTCGGTACAGCATAGTAATACTGCATCGCAAAACGATTTATCTCTTAAACAATCACATCAAGTACTTCATTGGGCACAAACTGTCTGAATATGTCACATGGTTTGGACAGGTTTATAGTGTCTACAATTATACTAAGTATCAAAGTGTCCAGTGTAGTGTGGAGGCGCGGTTGTCGAGGTCTGCGCGCTCACAAGGGATATGGCAGGGATATGCTCACTAGGGCAGTGGCAGGCATGGGCAAATTGTACGAGGCAACTGAGTTCGACTGCGCCTCGTGAATTGTGCTACGCTACCAGAGAAACGTGTTTTGAATTTTTTTGCATATTCTAGCGGAACCCCTACAGGGGTATCGCGGAACACACTTTGAATATCGCTGCTTTAGAGGACTGCTCTACTGGCTAATCTAAAAAAAAAGCATTACAGCCGTCATGTACCACCGGTGGTACATGTTTCAAATGTAAAAAAAACATGTTAAAAGTTAATACCATTTTTTTTGTAATTTAAATCCAGTTCTACCCCCTCTGTAGCTCAGTGGTAAGAGCGCCTACCTTTAAACCTAAAGGTCGTGAGTTCGAATCTCACCTGGGTGGAGAAATTTTCGTTTATTAAAAATTAATAAATGAAAATAATCTCTATCCTTGTGCGATCGGTACTCACCGGAGGGACCGCAGACGTTCGGATACAATTAGCGTCTCTTAGCAAAGACAATGACGTCGACTTTGCTAAGTATCAAGACAATTACTCTACCCACACCCACACACACACACACACACACACACACACACACACACACACAAACACACACACACACACACACACACACACACACACACACACACACTACACTAGGTACCTGACTGTACCATGCCATTGATCGTAGTTGTCGCGGCATTAACTCAATAATAATAATAAAATCCAGTTCCGCTTAAAATAAATGAAAAGTTGGTCCCGGCTCTGACTAATGACAGCGTTTTGAGATGTCGTCGTCAAGGTGTTAATGACACAGTTAAAACCCTTTATTCATATCACATAAAGCTTTACAGAACATAAGGTAATTAGATGAAAACTGTCTAGATTTGTATTTAATCTTAATTATGTACAATGCTATTTTGTTATGAATTAATACTTAGGTTCGTCGGTATATGTATTGATACTATCTACATTGGTGTAAATATATTTAAACATAATTACTTGGTATACAAATATCACTTTTGTTTCGAATATCGAAAATGAAAAGACCTGTTTCACATAACACAAATCTGGCATGTCTATTGCTGCACATGTATTTGTGCTGTACAGCATGGCTTATATTCTAGGCTTCAATAGTAACATTTTACCTATAAAAAATGAAAAATTTGAAAAATTAACTGATTTTGTTACAAAACATTTAAATAGACAATCTTTGACATTAATAGACAATACAGAAAACATGGACCAAATATTTACCTCTATGGATGTACCACAACGAATTATCAGAAATGTTTCTGTGGTAGAGGAAGTAGTGCAAGCTTTTGGAGACTTTGTGTTTATTGATCACACTATAGAATCTTTTACCACGACTTTAAAGTTGTTCAATCAGTCTGATAAATGGCACAGCACGTCCAAATTTCTGATCTTATGTAAGAATTTGACGGACATGGAGATGAAAATTGTTTTTGCAAAATTGTGGAGGGTTAATATTTATAACGCAGTAGTATCTGCAGACTTTAAAACATTTTTTACGTGGTTTCCGTATTCTAAAGAGAATAATTGTGGTAAAGGTTTTAATTTAGTTAATTTAATATCAGATCCGTATACCGAAAAAATTCCAAACAAATTGGATTCGTGTCAATTTAATATTACAATGGGTCCCTATAAGTTGTATTTTAATAAGACTACTAGAAGAGGTTATCTAGCTGAATTGTCTAAGGCCATTGGGAAAAAGCTTAATCTAGATATCAATATTGTTAATGTACATAATTACATTAAGAGTACGATCGTACATGGTACTTATGATCTCTTTATATACGATATGGAGACTTACAATATAGAAGCGGGTTTTGTAGGAGTATTTCATTTTCAACAGGTTCCCAATTATCAAGCTGAATATAGTAGACCAAGCTTTATAAACTATATTTACATCCTTTGCCCACCTAGAGAACCAATAGAGCCAAATATGATTATGTTGTTTTCATACACCATGTACCTTCCCGTTTTTGCGGTATTTCTAATAACAACATTTTTCTGGAAGATCTCATGTAAGTTACAGTTTCAAGAAACAATATTTCTGGTTTATAAACTATTTATTACTCTTATTATTGATCTTCGCAAAGTGAGCAATGTTAAAACCACCATATATTTGTCGCTCGTCTTATGGTTTTCATACTACATCTCTACTTTTTATCAAACTAAGCTAAGCGCAATTTTAACGAGTCCACTTTTAACACCGAAAATAAAAAATCTAGATCAATTTCTAAAATCAAATTACCGCCTGATGGGGGATCATGCTTTGCCGGAATTTGTGAAACCTAGAGGTGAAAAAATCGTTAAGAAGATACGACAAAAGGTTCTAGATTTGAACAACATTGCGGATGATCTAGCGAAGTTCCTTAAAGAACCAACGTATGGGATTGCCCCATCCAGTCATATTTTACGAATGATTAAGAACGTTAAAGATATAGAAGTTATGTATGACGATCCAGTATGTATTTTATTAATTATTTTATTAATTTTCATAAACCCGAGCGAGGTGCAGATGTATCCCAGTCACAAAACTGACTTGACTTGACTTGAAACGGTTCCAGTTTACAAAGAGAGTCTCAGTCCCAGAACTGAGAAACTCCCAGTTTACAAAAAGTGATCTTTTTGTAAACACGTAAATGCCAAATTGTGATATTTATTTGTTCTTACCTATTTATCAAATACATATTTTTAATGTACCATAAAAATATCTAATTTGATATATTTTCTAACAAATTATAGTATGTTTTATTTCTTTAGTTAATGTTGCACCTCGCTCGGTTGTTAACCAGAGTATATACCCTCCTAGTAAGGTAACTCCCATATAAAGTTTTGGGAGAGATTTCTAGCGCCAAATACGTTCGGGCCGAAATTAATTTCATTTCATCAAACTATGCTCTGAATTTTTAGGCGCCAAAATTCAAAAAGTGTGTTTTTAATGGAAAATAAATATAGTCATAAAATAAGAAATAAAAGTTTATTATATGCCAGAAAATATATTTTCAGTTCATCATTTTGGCTTTAGAACCATAGCCTCCCCAATAATTTTTTCCAGTCGTCCCTAACCATCGCCTTCCTCCGCCAAGCACGTATTTCCATATTTCTCATATCTTGGTCTATGTTATTTAGGAATCTTGTTCTGGGTCTTCCTCTTCTTCTTTGACCAATTGGTCTATCAAGGTACGTTTTTCTAGCTGAATCGGTTTGCTACATCCGCATTACATGGCCTACCCACCTCAGACGTCCTATCTTAATGTGTTTGACGATATCTGGTTCCTGGTATATTCTATAGAGTTCGAAGTTGTATCGTCTTCTCCAGACACCATTTTCATTTACCGCATCAGAGATTCACCTTAGTATTTTTCTTTCGAAAAATTATAACATGTTTTCATTGCTTTTTGTTAAAGTCCAGGTTTCTGAACCATATGTTAGGACTGGGCGTATTATTGTTTTATAGAGTTTTACTTTTGTATTTCTTGATGTAACTGTAAATTTAAAAAAGAGATTAAGCCTAAAATAGCATCTATTAGCCGTGCAAATTCTGCGGTTTATCTTTAGGGTAGTGTCATTTTTAGTATTGACGAGCGTTCCCAGGTATACAAATTCATTAACTGCTTCGATGACGTCGTTTTCTATAACAAGGGGCCGTAGTATTAGTGGTTATGTATAACCCGACAAGCGAGAGCTGGCGAGTTGCGCGTAGAACAAATTGAAAAGTGGAAGGGATTGCTCATTTCTCTTGCAGTCGGCTAGGAGTTCACATCATGTAAAACCGTTTAAGTACCTATACTATATACCTATAATCGCGATTAAGTACCTCTCCTATCTCTCTTAGAATAATTCCTTTTCTATTTTCGCGCAGCTCACCCGCCAGCTCTCGCTTGTCGGATTATACCTATTTTCATGTATTTCGTTTTATTGGTGTTTTATTATTGAACCCATTTTTAGAGCCGCTTTCTTTAGTGCTGCGTACGCCTCTCGTGCTGCATTTTCCGTTCTCCCAAAAATATTGATATCGTCAGCATGTCGTACCGAGTGGGTGATAAATTGGAAAAATATCATCAGTTATACCACTCCGGTCGCTCTAAGTTCGATCTCGTCTTGAAAAAGACGAGATCTATTTGTTTTATAACTGGTAAGGTTAAATAAAACGCAGGTTTGTAGGTAGACAATAGACTCAGCCACAGAGTCTGAAGAAAAACAAGCAGAGTTCCTAGAGCAAAGTGCTCTAGGAGAGTCGGTGAAGGACCGACTTCGACCGCCGTGAGATCCGAATAATCCCATATTTAAAGACAATTTAATATTTATATGAGATTTTCGAACCTCTTGGCCAGTAGAAAATAGAATAAAATGCCAGAAGGCGGGCGATGCGCATCAGGGTGCGTATTAGTTTGCTACTAATAGCACCAGGATGACATCCCCCTTCCTTTGGAGACTCTAAGGCTGGAAAAAGGTAATTTTTATTAAAAAGTTTAAAACACAGAAATACAAATGCACAAGCAAATATGAGAAAAGTAAACGTACTTATAGTTTAAAGATATATAAAATTCAAAATGTCCTTGTTGATCGCAACACTGCACAAAAAAATAGTACACAGGAGGAGGTCGGTGGTGGTCACAGCATCTGCAGGTCCATCCTCGGTCGATGTACTCACTCCCTCGGCGGTTCGTCTTCTTCTAGGCTGTCCGGATCCCATCTACTATATCAAATAGTGTTTCGTAGGCCAGGGGCCTAAGCCTACGTGGTTTATGTTCTACCTGCTGTAGGGAGGCACTGGCTGGTCCTACTTCTTTGGTAGCTGGGGCTTTTAACTTCAAAGTAGGCTGGCTTGTCGAAGGTATCTGCACATCGAAGGCTTTAGGGCTGCAGAAGGCCTGGATATCGGCATGTTAGTTTGCTATGCTAACAGGTTTGTAGGTAGACAAGAGACTCAACCACAGAGTCTGAAGAAAAACGAGCAGAGCCCTAGAGCAAAGTGCTCTAGGAGAGTCCGTGAAGGATCGACTTTGACTGCCGTGACATCCGAGTAATCCCATATTTAAAGACAATTTAATATTTATATGAGATTTTCGGACCTCCTGGTAAATAGAAAATAGAATAAAATGCCAGAAGGCGGGCGATGCGCATCAGGGTGCGTATTAGTTTGCTACTAATAGCACCAGGATGACAAGCATATGCTAGGATTTGCACAGATTTGTTATATATTAAACCGGTAGTTGTGATTTTTGACGTACGTATTACTTTTTCCAGAGCTAGATTGAATAGTATACAGGAGAGTGGGTCTCCTTGACGTAGCCCGTTATTTGTTTTAAAAGGCTCAGAGAGGTTCTCCTGGATTCGTACTCTGCAATCAACTTTTTCAAGGGTTAGTTTGGTTAGGCTTAATAACTGATTTGGTACTCGTTTATCATTGCTCTAAACAATTCTCTTCTATTTACAGAGTGAGTCGTAGGCTGCCTTGTAGTCTATAAATATGTGGTGCGTGTTTACACCGTATTCCAGTGTTTTCTCTAAAATTTGCTTCAGGGTTGTTGTCCTATCATTCGCTCTGCATATGGTGCCATACGATGACATACTATATTGGAGGATATTTTATACGATGCATTTAGGAGCGTAATTCCTCGATAGTTAGAGTATTCAAAGATATCTCCCTTTTTGTGTATGGTGCAAAGTATTACAATATTCCGACCACTGGGAAGGGGCTTCTATATCTATATTTCTTTTATAAGCTGCTGTAGTGCTATTATGATATCGTGGCCATCTTCTTTATATAATTCAGCTGGAAGATTATCTATTCCGGCTGATTTGTTTTTGGTTAGTTTGTTTACAGCGTGTTTAACTTCCAGGATCGTTGGTGCATCATCCTCCCTCTCGCCTGCTCCGCCTACCTCACAGCTTTCGTCTTCCGGGTTTTCTTCTTCTTCCTCTATATTAAGTATCTGGTTAAAATATTCCATCCATCGATTTAGTACGTCTGTTCTTGTTGTTAATATATCGCCATTCAAACTTTTACATTGTTTTGTGTTTGCCTTGGATTCTTTTCTGTTGATATTGATGTTAACAATCAACAATCAACATCAACAGAAAATATATTCTCTCTGTCCAAAAATATAGTAAACCGTTACACATTTTTATATATAAATATATAACATAATATCTGATATAGAGGGAGTATATATTATGGTGCAGAAAAGTTTTTATTTAATATTTTATGATTATATCTGTTTTGCATTACATTAACAAACTAAAGTCCAAAAAACAACACAATAAAACACACAGACATCCTGGCACTTGTTCATTTATATAATTTTCCTTGGTAAAGTATTGGCAACAAATATCCTCCTCCTCCTCATTTCTTGAGCCCTTGTTAAGGTGTGGGTGGAGACACTCTAAATATTGTTAGCTTGCTGTATCCATTTGCTGCAATTCTATACCCAATGGACAACTTCGTGAAGGAATTTTTCCACCAAATTTATTTAACCTTCCCTTCGTGTTGGAGATCTTCCTTTTGATATACAAATATAGATACCTCTATATTCATCAGTAATGGTTTGTTGTAAGTTCCATACCTTCTAAAATACTCTGCTTTAAAGTACCATCTGTAGATAATAAAGTGTAAACTTCATCATGTCAGCGATCTTGCTCAAGATAGGGCACAATGGACAAAAATGAGGGAGGCCTATGTCCAGCAGTGGACGCAAAGATCTGGATGATGATGACAATATCTTATAGAACATTTAATTATCGCTATTTTCATTACGACTTTGCTCCAAAATAAATTGTGTTAAAGTTCTGTACATTTGTTGAGTTATTTGGGATACTAGTTAAGCCATTTTTATTTTCCCCTGGTAATCTAATTAACCAAACAATTTATTTAAGAATATTTTACGTCAACAATAACCTTAAAGTTATTGTAATTCTTTTAGGGTTCTCTGAAAAAAAAAATATTAAATTTAGTTGGTTTTTTGGTATATATTGTGACCTTCGTGTTCGTGTTTACAGACCTGTATATAATATTTGTATAAAAAAGTTAAAAATAAAGTATTCAGTTCCTAATAAACATTTAACGACAAACGTCGTTTAGGTTAATATTTTTTGTTTTTATTTATTTACGCCGTAACCACAAGGGTTATTAGCGACCTAAAAAATATAATACAGGTAAAGTTAGAAAAAATTACAATAAGTGATACAGTCCTGAGTCTTAAAGATAACTTATTGTGTTTTTAATGTTCATGTTTGTTGCTAAAGCTTCCTTTATATTATTTGGGATAGTGTGCTTCTTTCTTGTTTCTTCAGATGTTTTGCACTGAGTTAATATAAAGTACTGGGTTTACCAATAAGGACGTTCTGTTTTTGAAATGTTATAGCGGCCATTTTGAAAATTTTAAAACTGTCACTTGTTGACGTTTGCATTTAGTATACTCTAACAAATTATCATGACAAGATATACGCTTGAATAACGTTTTAAAATTATAATAAAATTTTATGCTCATAATCATTGTTTTGTGAATACCTATCGTGCATTACGTGAAAGTTATGGACCAATTC